CGTGGGGGAGGACATATTAGCCGGCGTTCTTCACCATCAGATCGACATAGCCCAAATGCTGGCAGCTGTGGGGTTGATGCGCCATCTGCCAGCGGGGTGTCAGGCTCACGGGCACGCGCCGGCCTGGCCGCGATGCTTTAATTGCGTGTCATACGAGCCCCCTTCTCGCAGGCGGGCGTGTGGTGCGGCCCGGTCTCCCCCGTTGGTCCTCTCTCTGTCTTGGCCTCTCGCTGCTGCTTCTTCTTTTTTTTTTTTTTCCGCCCCCGGTGCTTGAGCCCGCCGGCGCCGTGCCCTTGGGCATGTATATGTCTGCCAAGCTTGACAGGGATATGCTGCCCGGTGGCCGGGCCCTCGGCACCCGGGATGTGTATCGAGTGGGTGTCGTGTCTCTGTGAACCGGGGGCGCTTGGCGATGCACGCCTCTGGGCCGGGAGCCCCGGCCGGGCGCCTGGCCGAGGAGCGGGCACGTCGGACGAAGCCGCGTTCCCCTCTATTCCAGAGTGCTGTCTTTTTATTTTAGATTGGACAACGCGCCCTCCCCGCCGGGGTGTGGGCTCCGAAGCTGCGCCCGGTGGTCATGCCTTTCCCGGACTGCCTCAGTCATGGGGCTCATGGCCGGGTGGGGCTCGCATCGCTGCATACCGTGACGGCCCAAGCGCCCCGGTGCCCCGGGCTGCCAAGCGTTCTTGGCCTCTGCGGCGGCATCCACGGCAGCGGTGCTGGGAGGCCCATACGCGCAAGGCACAGGGGCTCGTGCGCAGGTGTCGGGCCCGAGCGGGGGGGGGGGGGGCGTCCATTTTGGGGGGCCCGAGAGCCGGCCCGGAGGCCGGCAGCAGAGCACCCCTCCCCCCGACACACGGGGCGTGCCTCTCCTGAAGCACGTGGGTGGCCGCGCGTGCCGGCGGGTAGTTGGTCCGGCGAGGAAACCCCTTCGGCTATGGCGGGGATCGAGCGGGACACCGGCCCGGCCGCTCCGGCCCCTCGGTCTGGAGCGAGTGCCTGTGCTTGCTTCCGGACACCGGAGACACGAATCTCCGCCTTCGAAGAGGGCCACACGGGCGCCATGTCACGGAGGCGAGCTCGGGGCCCGGCAGCACCTCCGGCCGCATGCCCGGAGCAGGGCACTCGCCAAAGGGGAACAGTGCAGGGGGCGACCGCCGCTCCGGGAGACACCGCCTCCACACGGGGGGCGGACGGGACACCAGGCGGAATGCATGCCCGGGGGCGCCATGTGCCCAAACACAGGAGGCGTCTCCGCCGGGTGCGGCACACTCATCCCGGGGGCAGACGGGCAGCAGAGACACCCGGCAAAGGGGACCCAGTGGGAGGGCGGGCGGGGGCTGACGTTCGGGGGCCCGGGGTGCCGGCCGGCCGGCCGGCCGGCCGCGGCTCCCTCCCGCCTTGGCGGGCCGGCTGTTGTCGGGCCCCGGTAGCCCCGCGCCCGAAGCCGCGCCCCATGATGTGGCATGTTTGGGCGCGGGGATATTTGTGCGTTGGGAGTGCCGGGGTCCGTGGGAACGCAAAGCCGGAGGGGCTAGGCCTTTGGCCGGAGTGCCCTCGGGGGGGTGGGGGGGGGGGCCTATTTGCCGGGCCGGCCCGGGGCCGGAGACGGGGCCGGCGCGGATGCATGCCTTGATTTTCCCCTCGCCCCTGCACATCCCGCGATCCCACTCCGCCCCCACAACTACCATGGATTGCCGCAGCACGGCCCCCCAATCGATGGCCGTGTCTCTCCGGGCCCCGCGAGCCCTCCGCCTGGCGGGGCGGGAGCTGCGCCTGCTGCCGGGTCCCGATCGCCCCGACGAGCAGGGCTGGCCGGCGCAGTTGCTCCTGGCTCCGGGGGATTTCGCCGAACTGGCGGCCGGGTCCGAAGAGCCGGTCTTCGTGGCAGCCGGGAGCCACACCCTTTGGGCTCGGTATGGGCCACTGTGCCGGGGAGCGGTTTGGGGGGCTGGGTTTCCTCATCACCGCTCCGCTCTCTCTCTCTCTCTGTCTCCTTCCCTTTTTTGGGGTGGCCATCTAACACATTTGCTGCCGGACACAGGCCGGATTCCCTGGTGTCAGACGGCTGCCTTTTGGTTGGTCTGGCAGCCGAGTCTATTGATGTCCCGGCGACGGGCGGCGCGCCGGAGGCAAGACGCCTCGAGCCGGGCGACGTGCAGGTTGTCTACCTGGCCGTGTCGGCCGCTCGGCCGGTGGAGCTGCCCTACACGCTGCTGGTGGATGCGCTCCGGGAGCGGCCCCTGCCCGGGCGCTTGCACGTGGACCAGGTGCGCGATGGGGTCGGCACGACGCTCTTCCGATCTGAGCCGGGCGACGTGCAGGTTGTCTACCTGGCCGTGTCGGCCGCTCGGCCGGTGGAGCTGCCCTACACGCTGCTGGTGGATGCGCTCCGGGAGCGGCCCCTGCCCGGGCGCTTGCACGTGGACCAGGTGCGCGATGGGGTCGGCCCCGGAACGTGACGTCGAGAAGGGCCGGGCAATGCAAGTGGTCTCTGACAGGCATGGGCAAGATCCTCGGCCTTGCGGTCGATGGAGTGGAGCTGGAGCTGCGTGTGGCCGAGCTTCAGGCGGAAAGCGGCACGCGCGTTGCCTTTGGGCTGGTCAGTGCATCGACCCGGGTGCTGGCCACCGCCGGGCCGGGGGTGGAGCTGCCCGGGGCGCCGGTAGATCGGAAGAGCACACGTGTCTCTGACAGGCATGGGCAAGATCCTCGGCCTTGCGGTCGATGGAGTGGAGCTGGAGCTGCGTGTGGCCGAGCTTCAGGCGGAAAGCGGCACGCGCGTTGCCTTTGGGCTGGTCAGTGCATCGACCCGGGTGCTGGCCACCGCCGGGCCGGGGGTGGAGCTGCCCGGGGCGCCGGTGGTGGTGGCCCTCGCCGGGCCGGGCCGGGCCCCGGGGCAGCACTTTGTCCTGAGTGCCATGCACTTGTCGCCGGGCGAGCTGGACGTGCTTTTTGCCCCGGCCGGCGGGGCGTTGGCGCGAGCCCTCGGCACCCGGCCTCCCGGCGGCCGGGCGTACGCCCGGTGTGGCCGGCGGGTGTTTGAGATTCGGTAGCGTCGTCTGTTGGATGTGTCCCGGTGCGGGGTGGCATGCCTGTGGCTGACCGTACATCCGCCCCATGCGCGCCTGTGTATCCCCCCCGGGGGCCTCCCAAGCGTGTGCCCTCGCCCGGCGGTGGTCGGGGTCGATGTCCGGGCCAGCGAGAAGTTGCTGCGGTCGCTGGGGCCGCGATTGGACGGGCGCCCGGTGCCATTGGCCCTGTGTGACCCGCCGCCGGGGGTGGCGGTGGCCTGGCTCGAGACCGCCATGGACATCGCCCGGGTGGACCGGGCCCATGCGATCGCCCAATTGACCGGGGCCCCGCTGCGTGTGGGAGAGGTGCGTTCTGGGCGGGGGCGGGGGGGGGTCCCTCGCCGGGCGAGGGTGAGAGCGCGGCGCACGTGGCCATGGGGGGCTTTTTTTCCCGGCTAACATGCCCAGCAGGCGGTGCATTTGACGAGTCCGCCCTTGGCGGCGCGCGTGGTCGGGCTCATGGATCGCGGGTTCACCATGCTCTCCAGCGGGCAAGCCGGGGTCTTCGACGCGAGCACGGTGCTGGCGGTGGAGTCGGCTCGCGGCAGGGCCGCCGGCCATCCCCACCGACTGGCGGTGGTGTCGGTCGGGCCGAGCATGGTCCTGCTGGACCTGGTGCCGGCGAGCTGGCTCGAGCACCGGGGGACGCTGCTGCTGTCGGAGGCGGCGCTGGCCCGACTGACGGGGGCTTCGGATGGGCAGGCCGTGCGGCTTGCAAGCCAGGGGGCCCTTTTCGATGTGCAGTGCGTGGAGCCCGTTCGCCATTGCCGCGCCGCATGCCTCCTTCTTCTGACCGCGAGTCGGGGTGCAGGGCCGGCGGCCGGATCGGCGCCTATGAGCTGGGCATGCACCCGGGGGACCTGGAGGCGCTGGCCGTGGGCCTGAGGCCTGTGGTCTTCTCCCGGGCCCCGGTGGTGCCGGTGGCCGAGAGTGTCGAGGTGTCCTTCGGTCCGGGCCCGGGGGGCCGGGCTCTGCCGTCGGTCGATCAGCTAACGCGGGACTTCCTGGCCGCACATGGCCGGGCCACCATGCGCGTGGATCGGGTGCGTCCTGTGGCCAGGGTGCGCCGGGAGGGCTGGGATGTTGGCAGCTGGATTGACTCGGTGTGCCGGGTGTAGGGTCTTGCCTTCCGGTCGCGGGAGGGCCCGGTGGTGGCCACGGTGCGGGCCGTTGCCTGGCCCGGGTCGGCGGGTGTCCATCGGCCGCTGGGCCTGCTGGGCGAGGGGACGAGCCTGCGCGTGGGCTGCCGGTCGCCGGGGCCCGATGGTCCCGCCGGCCCGGGGGCGGGCCGCCACGGCTGGGAGCCGTGGTTTTTGGTCGACTTCCCGTCAACCGCCGTGGGCGTGGGCCCGGGCGATGCGCCGATGTGCCTGGAGGTCCGGGCCACTTGTGGGCGCCCGGCTGGGAGTGCCGGCATCTGCCCGGCGACCTTCGGGCGGATGTGCGACCGGCTGCCGGGGAGCCGGGAGCTTTTCCTCCACTGGCATGGCCGGTTGCTGGTTTTGATGTGCGTCCATGGGTGCCCTGGCTCGGGGACACGGCCTGCGACCGGCTGCTGACTGTGCATTAGCCCGGATGCCGGGCTGTCCGGCGGGGAGATCGCGCTTGGCCGGGTGGACATCGAGCGGCACTTTGCCGGGCAGGCGCTCGTCAGGGCCATGGCCAGCAGGTCGGCCGCGCGCCCGTCGCAAGTTGATGTGCACCTCTCGCCAGGGCCCCGGCCATTGGAGTGTGTGCACCACGCGGACGCGGTCCGGGAGTTCCTCCGGCTGTTGGATTATTCCGTGATCTCGGTGGGCCAGGTATGCACGGGGGCGGCGTGGGCCGATTTCATCGGCTCCCCCCCCCCCCCCCCTGGACCGAGTTGCCGTCGGCTTTCCTCGGACCTGCATGGGATGCTGACTGTCTACCCCCCCCTCCGCGCTGCAGGAGATCGATCTGCCGGCCGGGGGCACAACCGTGCGCGCGCGGGTGGTCCGGCTGATGGACACCCAACTGCGGGCCTTGGAGTCCGGCTTCCTGTCCATGGACCACACGCCGGCCTTTGTGCATGTAAGCACGCCGCAGGGGGAGCCCTACGTGCTGCGTCCCCCGCGGTCGGTACTACTGCAGGTGCCGCGACTGGAGCTGGGGGTCCGCTTCCCGGTGGCCGAGAGGCCCGAGTATCTAACGGTGGAGGAGGATGACTTGCTGGTCTCGGAAAGGACTCTTCGCTCGCTGGAGGCCCATTTCCTGGAGCCGGAGCCGACCATCCTGCTCGGTGACAGGGTTCGAGTGGTGTGCGTTCCTCTTTGCGACAGCACGCGGTGAGGGGAGGGGCTCCGCCATTGTCTGGCTTTGTGTGTGTATTATTGTGTTTTATATATGCACTTGTGTTTTATGTCTGTACTTGTGCCTGCACTCGTGCCTGCATATGTGCCCGCACTCGTGCCCGCACTCGTGCCCGCACTTGCGCCCGCACTTGTGCGTGTCTGTGGACCAGACTCTGACGTGTGTATCGTGACTTCGGGGGCGCCCATGCAGCGGATATGCTGGCGGCGGGCTCCGGCGCAATGAGGCACTGCCGGGCACGGGGCTGCTCCGGTATGCCGAGGATGTCTACCACCTGCCATATACCGAGCCACCGGAGCTCCTGGCCCTCACCTGTCGGGTCGAGTGGATCGGGGATCGTCCGCCCCCGCGGCTGCGGGGGATTGGGCAATTGGAGCGCCTGCTGCTGGAGGCCATCCCTTTGGTTCCTTCCTTGTGTTGGGTGCTTTTGCTTTTCGTGGGGGCTGTTGGCCGCGGTTGGTTGCAAACCCTGGCTTCCCCCCCCCCCCCCCCCGCCCCGCCCCCCTGCAGAGCTACTCCCTGGCGGGGAGCTGGCCGGAGCTGGTGTTCACACCGAGCAGGCTGACGAATGGCGAGCGCGCGTCCGTCGAGGCCGGGGCCGTGGTGCCGGGGCTGACGCGGATCTCCTTCGACATGGAGGCCGGCGGCCGGCTGGCCCTGGCGGAGGCCGACCCGCTGGCGGTGACCCTTCACTGCGGGCGGCGGCGGCTGCTGCTGCTGAGTGTCCACCTGGCGCCGGGCGTGCCGCCGCTATACCCGGGGCTGCACCTGCCGCGGGAGGTCTTCCAATCGGTGGCCGAGTCGGCCGATGAGGGGCAGCCTGGGGGCTGTTTGTTCTTCCTGTGCCAGGGCCGGACGTTTGTCGCGCGGCTGGCCGACACGCACGACCTGCCCGGGGTGGTGCGGCTGAGCGCGGGCTTTGGGCACTTCCTGCGGGGTGCGCCGGAGCCGCCGCCGCCGCGGGTGCGCCTGCGCACGCCGGTGTGGCTGAGCGCGGTGCATGTGCGCGTGGTGCCAGCCCGTGCGTCCAGTGGCCCGGTGGCTGTGGATCTAGCCCCGCGGGATTTGGTGGCCGGCCTGAGCGTGGCCTTCGCCGACATGAGCATGGCTCTGTTTGAGCGGCGCCCCTTCCGGGAGGTGGTCCTCGTGCCGGAGGTCCTCCTGGACGCCGAGCACCAGGAGGTGGCGTGCGGGCTCCTTCGCCGGGGACACACCCAGGTGCGGCTCTATGTGCGGGATGTGGACCTGCGACCGGGCAAGTGCCCGCTGAGAATTGAGTAGGCGTCCGCGCATCGGCATGTCAATGGATGATGTTCTGTTTGTGTGCGCATGGGTGTGAGTGGGGGGGGGGCGGGAGCGGGGGAAGGGAGAGAAGGTGAGGGGGTTGCTCCAGTCCCTTTCCTTGCAGGAGGCATGCAAAGAAGGCTTCTCAAGCGTGTGTGTGTGTGTGTGTGCGCTCAATTGTGGCCGGTTATGGGGGGAGGCGAGATGTGGAGGGCTTGCCTTTCGATGGTGCTGGCTGTGTGTGGTGGATCCGGGGCTGGGAGAGGGATGGCGCGAGCCCGGCTACGGTGGCAGGCTGTCGGCGGGGTGCGATGGCCCTCGTTCTGCCCGTGCTCGAATGCTTCCTGGCAGGCCGGAAGGCGTTCTTCGATGGGGGAGACACGGCCCCGAAGAGGGTGTTAGGGGGGGGGGGTGGCTATTCTTGGAGGGGATTTTTCCTTCGGCAAGTGGCCAGACGAGGAGATCGTCTCGAAGTCCGGCAGCCCGGTCCCGGCCCACTGGCGGCCGAGCTCGAAGGGTACCCGGGGCTATTCTTGGAGGGGATTTTTCCTTCGGCAAGTGGCCAGACGAGGAGATCGTCTCGAAGTCCGGCAGCCCGGTCCCGGCCCACTGGCGGCCGAGCTCGAAGGGTACCCGGTAGGAGGGGGTACATCAAGAGCCGATGGTGCTCTGCTCGGCCATGTCCCCCCAAAGACGGAGGGCTGTGGGCAGGAGGGGCCAGTGTCAAAGGTCCTCGGCACGCAGATCACCAGGCCGTGCGAGTGGAGGCCCTCCAGCTCGGCCGAAGCCGGGGTCCCCATCCGACGGGGCTTTTGTTCCTATCAGAATTCACATGTCCTTTCACGTGTGTATGTGTGTGTCTTCGTGAGGGTGCCCTTGCAGGCATCTGCGCGCCCGTCGGAGCCGGCGGGGAGGCGGAGGCGGCCGGGGAAAGGCCAGAAAGTGTCCATGCCCAAAGCCCGGGAGCTTATCCCGGAGCCGGCGGGGAGGCGGAGGCGGCCGGGGAAAGGCCAGAAAGTGTCCATGCCCAAAGCCCGGGAGCTTATCCTCCCCAGCATGGTCCCCGATGGTCTCGGGCTTCTCCCTGCTTGCCCGCCGATGCCCGAAACCGATCTATGCACCAAGCGAGAGAGAGAGAGAGAGTGAACAATAGCGCCGGCTCCGGCTGGGGGTTCCGATCGGCGCCGGCAAGAGACAGAGCCCGTGCGCCAGGCGACTCACGGCCACGACCGGGGAAAGCCCGGAGGGGGGACTGCCGGGCGTCGGCACACCGGGAGCAATCCCAAGCCATGCCGACGCCGGTGCTCGGCCGCATGCCCAGGCGGCCAGGGGGGTGCTGTGCGGGGACATGCAGTCGAGCTCTCGAGGGCGGGCGCCACGCTGGCCGCCACGAGGCGCTGGGCGAACAGCCGGGCCTTTACTCCGGGTGACATGGATCCCTCGGGGCGCAACTAGCAACATCACACGGGGGATAGCCGCGAGGGGGCGGGGGGGGGGGGGGGGCGCGGTCGGCATCGCCCCAATACGACGCGATCGGGGCGGGAGAGAGGGCTCCCGAGCCGCTGTCCGGGCAGAGAGCCTCCCCCAAGGGGGTGTCCCTGGCCACCACCCGCCGGGCAGCATGGATACTTCGGGGCGGCTTGGGGCCACGTTTCTTGGCTCTGCCCCTCGCATGTGGAAGCAGGCATCCCGACCGCGGCTCGGCCCGGCCGGACGACGGGGGCTGGATGTCTGGTCCCGGCGCCGGGATGGAGGCGGCATCACGGCCGGGCAGGTGTGGCCTCTGCTGACGCCCCAGGCTCAGTGTCGGCAGCCGCCACCGCCCCTTCCTTCTGGCCGGCACGCGGCGATTCTCCGCGACTCCATTAAATTGGGGGACCTCCCTCCGGCCGTGGGCAGCCGGGGCGTCGGCACCGAGGATGCAACTTCGGCCCCCCCCCCCGCTCCCCGGGTAAACCATCAGAAAATGGTGCATTTATATGCTCCACCGAGCGCGAGAGAGTGCCCTGGGCGCGCCTTGCGGTCCGGCGATCGAGAGGATGCCATTCGGCCGTGATCCGGGGGGGGGGGGGGCAGGACGGGGCCGGCGGCTTTGGGGCGCCTTCGCCGCTTGTCACCCCACCGAGGCGACACAGCTCCGGGCCGGGTCCATGAAGGGGGTCGGAGTCCACCCCGGTCCCTGGCTAGCTGGACGGCGGGGGGGACGGGGCACGGGGGGCGGCGGAAATGCCGCTAGGTGGGGGGAGCAATAAATGGTGACTCTTTCGAAGCGTCTCATAATCCCAAATGTGGCCGGGCCAGGGGGAGGAGGGGGGACACTCGCTTCCCCAGAGGCGATGAGTCGACATGAGCCGGACCGGCCCAGCTGCGTGCGTATGTGTGCGTGTGTGCGTGTGTGAAGGTGAGTGGACTGGCTCCGGCTGGGCGGCGGCCGGGTTACCCAGGCGGCCGGGTTCCCCCGGGCGTGGATCTCCCCGTGTAGGGGCAATAAGCGTCTCCGGGAATGTCATGGGCTCCTTTGGAGCCTACCAATATGCTAGCTGATTTCCGAGCTTGAGAGCTGCCCAGCGAGCCGGAGGACCGGCTATTCGTCGCTTCTGCGCGCGCCCGGCCCTGATGAGCGAGCGCCCTGTGCCAACATGACAACGAGCTAATTGGCTGGCCGGCCGGAGCCAGTCCACCCACCTTCTCACACACACACACACACCACACACACACACACACACACACACACACACACACACACACACGCACACATACGCACGCAGCGCCGGAGCCCAGGCCCTCCGGACTCCGGGTGCAAT